TGTAAATATATATAGAGAGAGAGAGAGAGAGAGAGAGAGAGAGAGAGAGAGCGAGAGAGAGAGAGAGAGAGAGAGAGAGAGAGAGCACATATCTACATATGTGTACATAATCTAGCCCTCTTGCATCCAAACAGGACGTCGGAGGGCACGGTTCCCAACCTTGGGTTTACAGGGATTGCATGCGTGCCATTGGGAACAGCTTTCGACTAGGGCCTGAACCTTACAGCAATCTCCATTTCCACTTCCATCAGTGATATGTAGTATGGATGTTCCACCTGTCACCGGGCCAGACTTCGTCTGCGGGCAGGCATCAAATGTGCATCTACAGGCTGCAGCATCTGGCAAAGGCACACGTGTAGAAATCTGAACACTTCGAGCTCTCGGGATACTCGGCGGGCCAGGACCTCGTGGGAAGGCGGGCTGCAGCTAAGAAAATTACTTTTCTCTACTGAGTGTGGCTCGGCCGAAGCTCAAAGATCAGCTCAAAGTTGCTAAACCTCAGGAAGCTGCAGCAATCTCACAAAGCCTACCGAAACCAATACAAGGAGTCGGGGCATTGGCGTATTGATCAAGAAATGACCAGGCGAAGGTGCTTCAGATCCAACGGTAACGGAATCGTCCGTAATGACCTCCAGGCCAGACCCCAGGCACAAATCAAGACGGCTTGAGCACACACCAAAAGACAAGGGATGAATTGCCCAATAGCAATGACCAGATGTTTCCGCATCTTGCAGAAACAAAGATGAGCCCCGGCACCTGTTGCTCTTGAGACAGATGATAGAGAAAAATATCGAAAATACCGCCGAAGCACATGGTGTACCTGCACGCAAGTCTACAACCTATTCATGTTGTCTTGGATCTGTGCTGAAGCTGGGTCTTCAAGGGCACAAAGTCATGTGCAGGAAGTTGGTCAAGTAGATGAGCCGCTCGTTGCGCTTCCATGCTCTCTCTTGCCGCAACCTGAGGTCTCGCAGACAGAGTGAGTATGTTCAATCCGCATTCAACACGGCAAAACTAGGCACGCAACAGACCAGCTTCATCCTTCAATCGGAAGCTCTTTTAGGTACAAAACATAATATGCTTTGTTGAAAACTCATGACATCTCCATCTCCTGGGAGGGCGACGCCGGCTCAGACGAAGCCGCACTCATGACCCGAAAGACCTGAGTGGCACTCGGCTCGACGCGCTCAATCCACAAGCAGACACTGATAGCGACCGTTGCCAAGGTCAGCCGACAGCCGCGGCATCGACGCAAGCCCGAGTGATAAGACACACCAATCAAGAATATAGGCGATGCCCTGATCTGTTTGAACACACACAAATCGAGGATACCTGCACTAGTCCAAGTTTTGCTTGCTGCTGATTTTCGCATGTATGTAACTAAAGCTCGTAGCCACCGGAATGTACGTTGAAAAAGCCAACACGCAAGCAAGGCCCTGACGAGACCGTGATTCTGTGAAAACCAATCACTCGAATTGCACTTGCCTTGTTTTGAATGCTTGTGTGACGAACCTCGCGACCCCTAAACTTACCAACACGGGGATCAACCACCCTATATAAAATGCAACATACATTCTCGTTATCTGCCAAAGTGTGCAGGGCTGCCAACACATGTCACTAGCCTTGGCAAAATTGTTCGTGTTTTGGCTTTCGGATCGGGATGCAGGGGACACATTGGCCTGTGAAGTCAAAAAGCATGCAAGGCCTATACAAGCCAAGGGAAAAGTCCAGCTTTTGATGGAATCCGTTTCGAAAAGACCGGTTAAACATCGTTGAAAGAAAGCCCACACCACGCAACTCCAGGATGCCCATCACGAGCTGCAGTTGTTTCAGAACCTGCAATCCATAAATCCTGAGGGGCCGTGATCGAACATGTCCAGGTTTTTGCTGTCACATTACAAATGGGGATGGTGTTGCGTGACCTCTTTCTTTTGGAAAAATGGAAAACTCGTAATCTCACACAACATAACCCTCAAGGACAACGTCATGAGTCATAATCGGGCCTGAACAGGGGTCACAGGCACCAATCCTTGCCCTGAAGCAAAAAAATATCGACGGGTAACCTGATTGCTAAACCAGTGGACAGACGGGAGCAAAGAGTCACGAACCCTAAATGATCAGCTGTGCTGAGCTCCTGCAGTTGCGAATGATACCTAAACCCTAAACTGAGTGGTGAGACATCCCTTACATGAAGACAAGCCGTGAGCAAAAGCTCCGTTGGCAGCTTCGGCACCATCTCGATGCTAAAACCTGATCTGCGCCACTTCCCGCATGATACCTTACACCTTGAGCCAGACAACAACACAGCCTGCACATGCTGAACACTTAAGAGGACGACAGCAGCCAGTGGGCACATGTAAACTTCTCCAAAGTCTAGAGGAGCGAAAAAGCGCATTCAACTTCCGTGAACTTTCGGTCGGACAGACCATGAGCATCCAAACGCACCCGAATCCAGTCCGCGGCAGATCACTGCGGCTTGCGGTTGCTTTTGAGACTCTGCCGGCTCCCTGGAGAGAAAGCTTTAGGGATCATGCGAGTCGTGTTAGTTGGGATGGAGCTAAGCTCCCCGACCGAGTTGCACAGGTGCCACCAATCCGACCGAGTTGCGCAGGTGCCACCAATGCCCATGAACAAACCTGCCTCAGGCTGGTCTGTGATGCTCGGAAAAGCCGGGAAAGCGACTTTCCGGAAGTCGAGACATCCTAAAACTAAAATTATCTCTGCAGCATCAGCATCAGCTATCAGCTTCACTCCGCTTTAGAGAGCTTCCAGTTCAGGTACTCCATGCTGGTCCACATCTCCTCTTCCGAAAGTGCCCGGTTCCAGACGATGACCTCCATGACACCAAAGTCCGAAGACTCCATAAAGTGGCCGTCGTTGACGTACAAGTGGGCATCTGGGCTTGACTTCACCGGCGCGTGCTGCCCAAGATTCTTCCTTTCCCGGCCTCGGAAAACAACCCCTGCGCTGTTGCCGCACAGCACGAGCCAATCGGTCAAGCCCGTGAGCTGCCCGTCCTCGTTCACCCACGTGTTGTAATAAGTGACCCCCACTTTTCCACCCCAGTGGCCATGAAGCCAGTTGGGCTGGTTGTGCTGGAGAATTCGCTTTTGTACTCCTCCTTCGATATAGCGGGTGACCGAGCAAATGGTGAAGTCCTGCTTCATGATCTGACCGAAGTCATATCCGGTGTGGACGTCGCCGGTGAGGTATGCGACCGAAAATTTGGCACCGTGCCCAGCCTCGACCTTTCTGGTGGGGCTGCCCCTCGTCGCGCGACCCTGCCAGCTGCCCACCGCGCTTTTCCAAGCTGTGCTGGCGTCTTCGCTCTTGAACCAGGCCACCATGGAAGTCTTGTCAGCCGGCTGCGGCGGTGGAAGGGGTCCGAGCTTCGAGTTCAGGTACTCCATGCTGGTCCACATCTCGGCTTCCGAGAGCGCTCGGTTCCAAACGATGACCTCCATGACGCCAAAGTCCGATTTCTCCCCGCTATGCAGGTTGATGTACAAGTGGGCATCTCCAGATGACTTGAGTGCCGCGGTCTCTCCGTCATTCCTCCTCTCCTTGCCCCTGAAGACAACCCCGGTGCTGCTGCCACACATCACCAGCCAGCCAGTCAAGCCCGGATGCTGCCACGGTGTACGGTGAGGACTGGTCACCCAGTGGTTGTAGTGTGCAACCCCCACAGCTCCGTTCCAGTGACCATGCAGCCAGTTCGGCTGGTTGTGCTGGAGAATTCGCTGGTTTGCTCCTCCGAGGTATCGCGTGACGGAGCAGATGGTGAAGTCCGGCTTCATGATCTGGCCAAAGTCTATTCCGGTGTTGGTGTCGCCGGCGAGGTAGACGACAGGATATGTGGCGCCGTGGCCGGCCTTGACCTTTTTCGTGACGCTACCCGTCACACGAGCCTGCCAGCTGCCCACGGCACTTTTCCAAGCAGAGCCGGCATCCTCGCTCTTGAACCAGGCCACCATGGAAGACTTGTCAGCTGGCTCGGGCCCCACAAGCTCGTCGTGCCCTGGCCAGAAGTCCTTCAAAGCTGCGATGGCCGTCTTCTTCGTTTCGACAGAGATCCAAGGGATTGCGGTCAGGACGGCAGCAAACTGCACTCCGATGTCAGCCAAAGGAACTCTCCGACTTGGGCTCTGGAAGGGTCCGAAGCCCATCTGGACACCCAACTCCACCACGTTGCCGTCGAGGAGGCCTTGGATGTGGAAGTTCGACCTTCCCGAATCCGCCTGCAAGTTGAAGAGCTCGATGACTTCCTCCCGGTCCTGCTTGCGAGCTTCCTGCATTTTGCTCAATCGAAGCATGGCGTCCTGTCCTCGCACCTCCCAGGTCCTGTTGGGCTCCATGGAGTCACCGTAGTCGATGGAAGCCAGGTAGGCTTCCTGGGGCTCTGTCCTCCAGTACCAGGACTCCGTCTTTGCACCTTCTGCTTGATCACTGCGGTTGCTGTCCAGAAGCGACATGGCTTCCATCGCAGTCCTGCTCTCTCGCCTTTGGCGATGCCAAGTGGGGATCTCCAGGTTTGGTATCCGGTGCCCAGGTTCTTCTTGGCGAAGTCTGTGTGATCGCCGAAACGCTTCGCAAGCCTTAGGGTCCGGCTGAAGAGCAGGTGGCCGGCGGTTTTGATCTCCGAACGAAGGACGGACAAGTCGAGGCCACCAGGCATCTGGTTCGGCCAACACACCGTGGTGATCACCTCGAAGAGTTCTTTCGGTAGAAGCTCGAAGGTCAAGCCCAAGATGACGGACACTACAGGCTGGATGTTCAGGGAGAACTTCACTGTCAGGCACTTCTCGACGGCCAGCTCGCTCGTGTAGAAGGAGTACCCCTGCCACTTGTTCCAGTTCTCCTGGCAGGCGCACAAGCAGTGCACTCACGAATTTCTCACGCACTCAGGCTCGCTCACCCAACTCAAAGACCCCTGGAAACTGCATATCCCTCTCCTTCATCCAGGTGTTGTCGCAGGGCACCGCCCATGGCTCCAGCTGGACGAAGTCCTCCTTCTTTGCCGACGTCCAGTCGTCTTTCGTCGCCTCCTGGTGGTTGCCAACATTGGCCCCGCTCTTGGCTCGGGGAGCAAAGGCCAGGCAAGAGCCCGAATCGGCCTCTCTCCCATTGAACTGGGTGATCAAACTGGCAACGTATTCATCACCAGGCACAGTCTTCGGCATTAGCCCTCCTTGCTGCCCCTGCCCCGAAAAGAACTGCAACAGCGAGGGGTGCATTTCTTGCGAGTGCACCTCCACGACCAGATTCCCCTGCTGGTGCCGCACGGGCATCTTCCCGACGGGCGGGAATTGGGACACGCTGGCCTTCTCGATAAGGGAAGTGCCTCCCCGTAGAGCTTTCATTGCCATGGAAGTGGCCGCCTTGGCGAAGGTCTCGAGATGCCCACCGATCACGTCACCTAGCTGATTCAAGTAGCTCAGAGGAGGTACCCGCTCGATGATCTTGAAGCCTAGGCATTTCATGACTTCGTGGCCGGACTCGAAGTTTTGGCAATGCATCAGGTCATCCCCCATGGCCAGCAAGCTCTTCACGGAGTTGACATTCGATCCTGCAAGAACGCCAACCGGACTGGGCATCGAGTTCAGCGGCGGCGCAAACTCCATGACGTAGTTTGCGACTTTTTTGGCCATGCAGTGGAAAATGTTGCCTCTGTCGCAGTGCGGAGTGTTCAGAAGATCACGGATCATCGCGAAGACTCTGTCGACACCCTCCTGGCCCGCATTGACAACAGTGTGCAGCTGCTGGGGCAGCCAGTTCAATGGCGGCGCAAACTCCATTACGTAGTTTGCAACTTTTTTGGCCATGCAATGGAAAACGTTGCCTCTGTCGCAGTGCGGGGTGTTCAGGAGATCACGGATCATCGCAAAAACTCTGTCGACACCCTCCTGGCCTGCATTGACAACCGTATGAAGTTGATGAGGCAAGAAGTTCATGGGCGGTGCGAATGCCATGACGTGGTTTGCCACAAGCTTGGCCATGCAGTGGAAGCTGTCGGCTCTGTTGCAGTGGGCGGTGTTCAGCAGGACGTGTATCATCTGGAACAACCTGTCGACCGCCTCCTGGGTATGAGCGGCAACGCGCTTTATTGGTTCTGGAAGCCAGTTCAACGGGGGCTCGAACTGCATGACGTAAGTTGCGACACGTTTGGCCATGCAGTGGAAGGTGTCGCCTCTGTTGCAGTGGGCCGTGTTCAACAAATGATAAGACATGTCTACGAGCCTGTCGACCATCTCCTGACTTGCCCCAGCAACCCTCCGGATCTGATGCGGCAAGTGGTCCAACGGATTCGGCAACGGGACGCTTGCTTCCGGCCAGTTGGTCTTGAAGAGCCTGAGTAGTTTGCCAACGAGCGTTACCGTGCAATCCAGGTTGCCCCAGTTGATGACCAAACGGGCACCGTTGGGGTCGTACCTGAAGCTTGGTGGAGAAGCGCTGCAGTCCTGCGAAAACGTGAAGCCCCTGAAGCCCGTTAGAATGATGGTTGCCTTCTCCACGGTGTCAATCACGGTGTTCTGAATAAACTCAATTGCTTGCGCATCGCCCAAGGCCTTGACTGAATTGAATGCGTCCGTCAAGGCACCATCAGTCAGGCCCGTGCCGTCAAGGGTCGAGACTGCAGTGTTAACTGCCGCACTACCCACATTTGCCACGTCGCTCGCCCGATCTTCCACCCACCCGCCAACAGACCCCCACTTGCTTGAGGCACTCTGCTTGCTTTCCTGCCAGCAGACACAGGCTTTAAGCTGCCGAGGCTCTTGAGGTACTTGAAGCCTTTAAGTGCCGCAACATGCAACTATCACGTCACAGCATGCCGGACTTGCTCCTGAGAACGATTCCTATGCGCAATTGTCGGACGACCGAAGCATACATGTCCCAACCGTTGCCTTGCGTTGGAGAAACGCATCTGCAGGGCGTTCTGCCCGTGTTGGTGGCGACCGGTCCTGGCAATGCACTGTTCGCAACCTGTGGGCGCATGGCCTCCACCCTTTCAGCTCTCCTTGTGGGCATCGGGATCGTAGTTGCGCGTCTCGCGCTGGCGGTGGTGCTTGTCTAAGACCATTTTAAGAACATCACCTGCTGCTTGGGGATCACGAGATTTCTTCTGTGCCACCGCGACGTGCTGGACGTCCAAGCCTTGGCGGCTTCCAAATATTCACATGTGGAATCAAACTCACTGATCCACCACATTCGACACCAGAGCAGCCAAGCAACCAACGTGCTCTTTCAAGGCACCGATTTCGGTATGCGCGGCTGTGAGCTCGGCTTGCTGCAATTGCACCACTGTTTCCAACTGTGCCACCTGCAAACAAAGTTTGGATGAAGAAGGCCGACATGTCAAGCATTACTTAAGGACTTAGGATGCAGGACTATGCGGGATACATGGATTTCATCACGCGCCTTGAGCAGCAGGAACTCCAAATTGCGGGCCAGATCGCCGAAGGAACTGTTGGTGTCATTGCCCTGCTACAACTATGCATGAGTGCAAGCTTTCTTCTCGCTGCCACAGACCCTAAACCCTAAACCCTAATTCCTAAACCCTAAGCCCTAAGCCCTAAACCCTAAGCCAACTTTCTGCCGGCCTCATTTGCCTCGGGCATTGAGTTCGCTTCACCTGCATCATGCTCGAGGTTCTTCTCCAACAATCGCTCCACCTACGGCTGTCAGGAAGAAAACTCGTTAACCATGTGGGGTAGTTGACTAAGTTACGGTCCCCTTTTGGGGCCCTTTCTATAAGGGTGCCGTGCTATATTGTGGACCTAATAAAAGGGACCCTAATTTAGAGAACTACCCATGTGACTCCCCCGGGGCACTATTCGGACTGTTATGCCCATTGTTAGCGTTGTGATTCTGATTGTGGTTACGCTGAAGTATGATCATCATTAGCCTTAAACCCGAAACCCTAGACCGTTATTGTCCTTATTCTCATGAACTGTGACCCGGCCTTCTGAGCCACGGTCGGGTCTTGCGAGTTGGTGATATTGATGGGCGACTCGGACAGCTTGTATGCTTGGACACTGGAATGCCCGGAGAGCCATCCAAGCAGCCCGACCCACCAAGCAAGCACCAGAAAGCGGGTCACCTTGAGCTCAACACAGGGTAGTCGCATTGCTTACTGAGTCTTGCACATGTTGAGAAATCGAAGAACTGCGCGACCTGCTCGGTTGACCAAGTCCACGTATCATTGCAGTCCCCGCCGTCAGAATCTGACCCTGAAACATTCCTCCGGCTTTCAGGCTTTGATGGTCGAACGACCAAACAAGGCTCTGCTCTACAATGGAAAGGTACAAGGAAGCTGAGACCTGAACCCTAAACCCTAAACCCTGAACCCGAAAGCCTAAACTTGACCCGGCTGAACCTGATGCGTCGTCCTCCAACT